AAAAAGTTCGTGGTGGGCCCTAGGCAGTACTCCCACTCGGGAACCTGCTTGATACCATGACGAGAAGTGAGAATGGAATGAATGAACTATGAAACAGTTGGGTACAAGTACTAACCCTAATTGGGTTGTACCCCTTATGGGCTACCCCACTACAGCCTACACAAATGTATAAGCTATAATGTTCTGACAGCGGGTCGCGGGTCGCGGGGCCTTAGGGGGCCGTGAAAACGAGGCGCACGAGGGCGCTAGGGGGGGAGGCGCTCGAGGGCGCTCCGACAGTAGGGCGCACGAGGGCGCTAGTAGGTAGCAGTAGTGGTGGACCCTAGGAATCGGTCCTAGCGGAGGACCTGCTCTGATTCCATGTTATGAAGAAGAAGTGATTGCACTATGAAAGTTGGAGTACAAGTAGGAAACCCTAATTTTGTGTACCCCCTAAAGGCTAACCCACTATAGCCTACACAATAATAACACATAGTTTTTGACAGGCTTGTCTAGGCGAGTAGTATTGCGTGGATCTGGGCAGTGGTGCGGGTCAGTGCGTCGCGATGTTCGAGGCTCGCTTTTTGTACGTGACCGTGTAGTGAAAATTTGACTCGAGGAAGTCGAGCCAACGAATCTGTCGTGGGTTGAGGTGGCTGTACACGGAGGTACTATAGTGATTTATGGTCTGTCCGTACTGTCACGTCTGCGCCGGTCAAGTAACAGTGCCACACTTTGAACGCGTGCACGATCGCAAGCATTTCGCGGTCGTGTATCGGGTAATTTGTCTCGGGCGGAAGCAGTTTTCGTGACTCGTATGCGATGGACTGTAGGCTGTTGCCGAAGTCCTGTAGCAGTACGGCTCCGATGGCGATGTCGCTGGCGTCAGTAACTACTTCGAATGGGCGGTGTGGGTCAGCGATGCGCAGGACGGGCGGTGAACAGAGAATAGTTTTCAGGGCAGAGAAGGCAGCATGCTCTTTCTCCCCCCACGTAAAAGCGACCCCTTTCCCTAACAAGTCCGTCAGTGGCGCCGTCAGCCGTGCCATGTCCGGGACGGACCGGCGCACGTAGTTTACGAACCCTAAGAAACTCTGCAGTTCCGTAATATTCGTCGGGGGTTGCCAAGCTTTTACCGTGTCTAACTTCTTTGGGTAAATTTCGGCCCCAGCCTCCAAAATAATGTGCCCCAAAAACTCTAACGTGTCAGTAGCCGATGCTCGTCTAAAATCATAAACACTGCTTCCAGATCTGCTAAGTGCTACTGCTTGTCGCGACTGTAGACGAGGGTGTCGTCGAGGTAAACTATCACGCATTTATCTAAAAGTGGCCTAAACGCCTCGTTCATGGTCATCTGAAAAGTCGCCGGTGCGTTGGTCAGCCCGAATGGCATCACAGTGTACTCGAACGACCCGTACCTAGTCCTAAAAGTTGTTTTGGCGCAGTCCGATGGTTCGACCCTAATCTGATGGTAACCTTCCGTTAAATCTATTTTCGAAAAAACCCGTGCTGTTCGGAGTTGGTCGATCAGTTCATCGGCGCGAGAAATGGGGTACCGCAACTTGACTGTTACCCTGTTCAGTGCTCTGTAGTCGATACACATGCAAAAACCCCCGTCTTTCTTCGGTGTGAACAGTATCGGTGCGGCGAACGGTGACAAACTCGGTCGGATGATTTTTTTCTCTAACAGGTAATCTAACTGCTTCCTCAGTTCGTCGAGCTCTGGCTGTGTCAGTCGAAATTGTCGTTGTACAGTTGGCTGTGCCCCCAGTTCTAATTCTATGCGGTGGTCATGTGCCCGCTGAGGTGGAAGTCCTTCTAGTAAGTCGTCCGAAAAGATCCCGGGGTATCGTTTCAACAGTTCCTGTAGTTCGGGTGGTACTGCTGCTAACAGTTTCTGAAAATCGCTTGGCTGCTCTGCTTCTTCTATTACGGCAATGTCCACCGTGTACACGTCACCTCCAGCGGCTACTGCCCGTTTCATCGAGATGGCGTTGACGTGGACCGTTGAAGACTCAGGCGACTACCAGCGAGGTAGTTCGATCCACTTACCACTACTTCGCATAGTGCAGCTTCCTGTCGTCCAGTTAATTCTCGGGTTATATCGTCGCAGCCAATCACGTCCCAGTAAAATGACGTGCCCATCCAGTATCGTCGCGAGCATTTCCCGTGTAAACCCGAAGTTTCCCCCGCAACGAACTTTTACTCTTTCCACCTTCTCCCGTATGGCCAGCGGCGTGCCGTCAACTAAGCGTGCGTCTATCTCAGGTAAACAACCGCTAAGTGTCAGTTGCAGTTTCCGTGCGGTTGCGGTATTAACTAAACTGTGACTTGCTCCTCCGTCGATAAAAATCTTCACTGCTGCTCCCTGTATTTTCCCATGGATCAGTACTGGGCAATCCGTCGCTGTACCCTCCTTATTCGTCCGAGTCCGATCGATAGCATGAATCGGTACTGTGACTCGGTGAGGGTCGGTGGGGTTGGGCGAGCAGGCAGTCTCGTCAGTAGTTGGCCCGAATCCTACTGACTGCTGGCGTTTCCCTGCCTTGGAGACTCCCTCCCCTGCTCTGCTCCGCGGCGCCTTAGCTCCTCTGGGCATTCACTCTTGCGATGGCCCGTCCTATTGCAAGCAAAGCAGCGCCCCTTAAACGGTGCGGCAGCTGCGTTCGTCGCAACGGTGTGTACCGTGGCGTGCTCGGTCGGTCCCCGAGGACGATGTCCGTAGTAAGACCCCGGTCTCGGACGGCGTAAAATGTCGATTTTCTCGGCGAGCGCGAGAATCTCGTTGAAGTTCGATAGCCCGCGTAGCATGATTTCGTGCGAGATGTCCGGCTTCAGCCCTCCAACGTAACGGTCCACCCGCTCCGCTTCGTCCATGTAGCCGACCTGCTCGCATAATGCGAGAAAACCACTCGTATAGTCTTGAACCGACCCAAGCTGCCACCAAGTGCGCAATCTCTGATGCGTCGAAATAGAAGCCGCGATCGGCTCGAAGCGCGCCCGATGCCCTGCGTACCATGTATCCCATGTGTTGTATTGGGTGGTCTCGCAGAATGAACTCCAGGTGACAGCTGGACCCGTGGGCCCTTCCTCTTACGACGGTGGCTCGTAGGCGCGTGGCGACGTCGCGATGACTCGCCACCAGTCCATGGCGGGGCCCCTTAGCAGCGAAACGACATACCGAATCTTCGCTGCGTCTGACTCGACGTAATTCGCGTCGAAGAAGACGTTCATCGTGAAGACCCACGATTGAACCGTCGGACCTCCACGCTGGCTCGGGTCGAAGCAGGGCGGGCGTTGCGGCTTGAGTGGCATTGGTGCAAAATGGCCTGTTTGCCACTTGTCGCCGCGAACTCCACGTGCCGACGGGCTTCCCGAGGCTCCCGCGGGCTTGGTGCGACCCTGTTTCCTCCCATGCCAGGCATCGGCTGGGCGGTGCCATCACTAGCTGCGCCCGAGCGTTGTCCCACGCTGTTGTTTTGTGTTGGTGTGCCGGACGAAATGACGATCGGCTCGTCCGATTGTGCAGATGCATTTGTCGGGGCGTGTGGTGGCGCTAGAGTGTTCACCGTTGATTTCTGACACGCGGAGTCACATTCCGCCGTGAGCGTCGCAATTTCGAGCGCCAAATTTTCAAGTTGGCGCACCTGACGGTTGAGCTGCTCCTGCGTCAATATTGCGAGCGTGAATTCGGCCATGGCGGGGGTGTCGGGCGAGCTCAGCGAGAGCCTCGGTCGTGGCCGTGCGTGCTTACGAGAGAGCACTTCGAGCGGCAGTGCTGTGTTGCTGAGAGACGTCTACCCCCCCCCAAAAAGTGAGATAGTGGGGAAGCGAAGGTGTGGGTGCGGTCCGAGAAGTGTCGTAGGCTCTGATATCAAGTGTTACGAGTGCAATCGAGTGAACGAACGAGAATTGCACTATCGAAGCAATAATACAATGAGCGAAGGCATGAGCGAAGAATATATAGCGAAACTACAGTGGTAACGGTAATGGACTGTGGTTGTCACTTGACGGGCCCGGGACTGAGGTTGGGAAAAGTGTCGAAGCGGAGGCCCGGAGCTCGGGTTACCCGTCGAGCTGTGAGGTCGGGGTGCGACGTCCGAAGGTGGCGAGAGGATTGTCGATGCGAGAGTCGCGAGTGGTAACGGTGCTGACTGTGGTGCTACAGTGGTGTCCGCGCTGAGTGGGGACGCGAAGTAAGGAAAATGAAATTTCCTTACATTTAGTTGAATATTCATCTGAATAAGGCTCAAAATACATCAGGGTGCCTTCTCCTGGATAAGCAAGAAATCTCAAGCAGACAAAGCCTTTATAAAAAAATATGAATATTAAAATCATCATCAAGGGATGATTTGGAACTAAATTAAGAATTAACAGACTTCTCAAACTTTAAAATGAACAGCACATGAGTTTCGTTAACACAATGAGAGCTTGTTAATAGACATTCTTTCAGGTGACAAAGGTTTTGTCGGAGCAACTCTTTGATGAAGAATCTTTCGATTTTGGCGCCAGCTTTCGGCTGACAGTCGTCCGATCTGGCGTACTCCCCAATCGAGCGCTGTCAAAATCCATGCTTCATGATCCACATTGGTGCCACCAAGAAAGCATCGAACCAGTAGGGAGGCAATCTCTAGGGGAGAACACGACACCCTTGGGATAGTCAGCCTGGCTCTGAAGTGAATCCACTCCACCTTTACGACTGCCTGCTCAAAACTTGATCTAAAAATCTGCTGCTACTTCCTATCAGGCTCCTCCCTTACCTTCTCTCTTTTAGCTTAGGCCAAATCTAGTTTTGTTGCGGCGACAGAGTTTGCAGGATGATTAGTGTGAAAGACAGCTAGCTAACCCTGGTTTTCTTGCTCGACGCTGTGATTCAGCGATAGCGAGCCTGAGCTACTCTACCGTCGCGTTTAACCACAAGAAGGTCCCTTGGCTCTTATCCACGTGTTAAAGGAACGCGCTAGCGTACTCGCCTTGCTGCGTGCTCATTATCCAACGTGGCAAGCGACAGATCTCCCACAATGCGGAATCGCGGTGCCAGTCCAGACGGAGAGCCGAATGTGTCGTCCAATGACGGCGCGGAAGAGATGACGCTGTCCGGCGAGCCCGTTGCCGGCCGCTACAAGAAAGGCGGGGAGCTGAGCGACGCGGAGTTTCTGGCGGTGCACGGCAAGACGAGAGCGCAGATCGCGGAGGAGAAGCGGCTTGTGGAGGCTCAGGGGATGGAGATTAACTACCTCGTGCCGCCGCGGTCGACGAAGCTGTCGGACGTGATCGCAGTGTTTATCGCGCACATGCTGCCGTTCACGCTCGCTCCTTTCATCCTCACAATAATAGTCGTGTACATCTCGTACATGTAAGCGATTGTCGTGCACGCAGCGTACATGTCGGCGGAGCGTGATTGTTTTCGCCGTTGAGGTTGCTGCATTGACCGGTAGGCAGCTCAACATGCGTTTCAGATTGTCGTACGCTCTTGGATGTGCTCGCTGCTTCTAGTGAACATGCCATCGCGTGTCATTCATGGCTCACGATCCATGCCGCGTGATCCATGATGCATGATCCGTGACCCATGACCCACGACCCATGACGCTGACCCATGATCCATGATTCATGACCCATGACCCATGATCCATTACCCATGACCCATGATCCATTACCCATGATCCATTACCCATGACCCATGATCCATTACCCATGACCCATGACCCATGACCCATGTTCCATTACCCATGAACCATGATCCGTGACCCATGATCCATAGCGCATATCAGTAATCAAACATGACATTTTTCCAGCACCCTGACCCCTGCCTCCCGCTGTGGCCATAACTTAAGGTTTATTTCTGTCCGGCTTGACTTCCTGTGACCATGTGCGCCATCAGGTTGCTGGGGTGGCTGGGACCGCTCATCTCCTTCCTCGTGCTCTTCTACCTCACCGTCTGCCGGATGCATTACGACCCCAACACGCGCCGCAAGTACCAGGTGCGTCCACAAGTATAACGGGATGTCTCGTCCCTGCTCCCTGCTCCCTGCTCACTCCTCCGTGTTCCTTACCTGCCCGTTTCTATGGCTCTCCAACCCGTCCTCCCCCATCCTCGCTCGTTCTCACCGTGTTATGCCCCCCCAGGAGCTGTACCTGAAGATGGCGCGGTACATGGTATCAGTGCGCATGGTGACGCCCAGGGACCCCATCCTGGCCGCACTCTCCCCAACACCCTCTCTTCCTTTCTCCCCACCTCCGCTCATTCTCACCCTCTACGCCTCCAGGAGCTGTACCTGAAGATGGCGCGGAACATGGTATCAGTGCGCATGGTGACGCCCAGAAACCCCGTCCTCAACACACTACCTTCCATTCTCCCGTCTCTGCTCATTCTCACCCTCTTACGCCCTCAGGAACTGTACCTGAAGATGGCGCGGTATATGGTATCAGTGCGCATGGTCACGCCCAGGGACCCCATCCCCGACGGGCCGTACATCTTTGCATTCCACCCGCACGGCCGCATGTTCTACTCCACCTCGCTCATCATCCAGTCCCACGAGCTGTGGCGGAAGCACTTCTGCCCCAAAGGTGCGCTCTTGGCTGCTGGGCTGCCCTGGACGCTTCTGAGCTGCTCTGTGCGCTGCTGTGCTGCCCTGTGTGGTGTTGTGAGGTGCTGTGCAGTGCGGTGTGGTCTTGTTCTGTGCTGTACTGTCCTGTGCTGTGTGGTGTCGTCTCGTGTTGTACTTTATGCTGCAAACGTGCTATGCCGAATGCTGCATATGAGCCTCAACCCCTCACCTCTCGCCTCGTCGCACACCCCTCTCCCCGCATGCGCCTCTCACCTGCTCCCACCTCCCCCAGGTGATTTCTTCGGGTGAGCAGCAGGGGCGTTCTTCGTGGTGCCCATTGTGCGCAACATTCTCAACAACCACTCACTCCTGCCCTCGCACAAGCCTTCTATCACATACGCCTCCCACCTGCTCCCACCTCCCCCAGGCGACTTCTTCGGGTCAGCAGCGGGGGCGTTCTTTGTGGTGCCCATTGTGCGCAACATTCTCAACAACCTGGGGCTCGTGTCCGTGGATAAGCCTGCCATCGTGCGCACGCTCCGGAACAAGAACCATGTGAGTGTCTGGTTGGGGTGAGAGGGAGCATGGGAGTGCTTGCAAGCGACATCATGGGATCTCGTGTCCTTGGACATACATGCCATTGTGCGCACTCTCACGAACAAGAACCACGTGAGTGTTTGCCTGAGAGAGGTGAGAGGGAGCATGTGAATGTTGCCTGAGAGGGACCATGTGAGAGCTTGCAAGCAACCCCTTGAACGTTCTGGGGCTTGTGTTTGTGGACAAGCATGCTATCGTGCGCACGCTCCGGAACAAGAACCACGTGAGTGCTCGCATGAGAGAGAAGCATGGGTGTGGTGAGAGGGAGCATGGGAATGTGGCGACTGAGCATGGGAGCGGGGCGAAGGAGAGTGGAAGTCAGGTGACGGAGTACGGGAGTGGTGAGAAGGGGCATGGGAGTGGTCAGAAGGGTCGTGTGAGTGGTTACAAGGGGCATGGGAGTTAGGAAAAGGAGAATGGTTGTGGTGCAAGGAGCGTGGGAGTGGTGAGAAGGAGTGTGGGAGTGGTGAGAAAGAGCGTGGGAGTTGTGAGAAAGATCGTTGGAGTGGTGAGAAGGGGCACGGGGAGGGGTGAGAAGGAGCATGGGATTGGGGCAAGGGGGTGAAGGAGAATGTGAGTACGGAGAAGCATGGGACTGCTTGCAAGTAAGCAAGCACATGGGGAAGAAGCATGTTGGGGAAGTCTCACAAGTATGTGTTGTTCTGTGCTGTGCTGTGCTGTGCTGTGCTGTGCTGTGCTGGGCAGGTGACAATAACAATCGGCGGGGTGAAAGAGATATGCCTGGGCACCAGCCCCGATTACGACACGCTCTACCTCATGAAACGGTGAGGCAAAGGGGTGGTGGGGGGTGGTTTGCGGTGGGAGGGGGCGAGTTTGCCCAGGCAGGATTGGACGTTTGTGGATTGCCTCATCCTCTTTCCCTAATCAGCCCTGATTGCAACAAGGTCTGCCTTGTGAAGTGAGAGACAGGGGGGGTGGTGAGGACGCAGGGGCTTGGTAGTGAGCAAGGGAACAAGGGGGGCAGCGGGCGGGAAAAGGGGGGGAAACGGGTTCTTGGGAAGCGATATGGCATGACTTGTGGTCAAGCTAACGGGGGGTGATGCTGGTTGGAAAGGGGTTACGCATGCAGGGTTGGCACGTGCTATGGCCAGCTGGGCCTTCTATACCATTCATGCCTGTCATGTGGCTCATTTGTTGTTGCTCTCTCATGGCCTTCTCTCCCCATCTCTTGCTCGTTCTCTCTTTCTCTCAACGCAGAAAGGGGTTCATTAAAGTGGCGATGGATGAGAAGGTGGGCATCGTGCCCATCTACAACTTCAATGAGAACCAGGTGCGCATGCTGTGCCACGTGTGCTGTGTGACACCATGGTGTTATGATATGTGGTGATCTCATATGCTTTGTTGTGTGCCCATCTACAACTTCAGTGAGAACCAGGTGCATGGGTTGAGCAGCACTGTATGCTGCAATGTTGGTGAATGATATGTGTGATGCTATATGTGCAGTAAGAATCAGGTGGGCTTGTGTACGGTGCGATGCCCTGTGTACTATGTGCTATATGCCATATGCCATGAGCAGTGAGCCATGTGGAATGTGCCATGTGGAACGTGTCATGTGGAATGTGCCATGTGAATGTGCCATGTGGAATGTGCCATGTGGAATGTGCCATGTGGAATGTGCCATGTGAATGTGTCATGTGGAATGTGCCATGTGAATGTGTCATGTGGAATGTGCCATGTGAATGTGTCATGTGGAATGTGCCATGTGCTTATTCCACTCGCTCTCCTGCCCACTCTTTCTCTCCTTCAACCCCTTCCCATCCCACCATTCCAATCGTTCCCCACTCCAAACCCCCTCTCCCCATTGATTCCCCCCACAGATCTTCCGGCCAGAGCCGCACTGGTTCCTGGCGTTCTGGGAGTCGGTGAACAATTACGTGGGCCTGGGCGTGCCAGGCATGAGAGGCTACCTGCAGATGCCCATGCCCTTCCGCAAGTGAGTGTTGCTGTGCGAGGTGCAGTGCGGTGTGTGAGTGTTGCATGCTATTTGAAGGCACTCAAGCCGCTCTCCCACACCCACGTCCCCATCACTTTCCTTAGCCAGCTCCGCCGATTCACTCCCTGCATTGTCACCTCATCTCAGCTCTCTTCTCCCTATCTTAACTGCTCTTCCCTCATACGCACACCCTCAGGGAGCTGCTCTTCGTGGTGGGCAAGCCATTGTTCACAAAGGATGGGGAGGCGGTGGACGAGTTTCATGCACGCTACATGGACGCACTCAAGCAGCTCTTCGACACCTACGTCCCCATCCCTTTCCGTGTTTGACTCAAAACGCTCCCTCCCTGCACTGTCCGCTCTGCTCCTTTGTGCCTACCCTGCCAATGCAGGGAGCTGCTTTTCGTGGTGGGCAAGCCGTTGTTTGCAAAAGAAGGAGAAACAGTGGACGACTTCCATGCGCGCTACGTGGAGGCTCTCAAGCAGCTCTTCGACACCTACGTCCCCATCTCGCCCCACCCCTCACACAAACTCGTCATCACATAGCCGTGCGCCCTGCCTCAGAGCGTCTCAACACCCACACCACTGTCCCAGCCCTACCATTTTCATACAGCATCACTTCGGACCTTCCATCATAAAGTCCCCCCTGCTTACATAGTGGTGTAGAACTCATGAGTTGTGCTCTAGGTAGTTTTACTCTAGCCTTTGCCAAGTAGTGATGCTAGTGTTACGGAAGTGTGGCGTAGCTCATCCCTGCTTGAATACTCGCGCAGCAGCAACTGCAGTATCCAGTCAGTGCGGCTGTCAGAGTCAGCTGCGTTAGCTCTGCGCTCTAGCTCCTCCTTTTGAGCAGTGGTGGTGCTAGCTACGAGCTAGAGAGGTTACATTACATACATGTGTATGTGTTGGCCACAGGCAACATTGGATACATCGTGGATGGAGCTTGGATTGCATGTTACTGTAGCGGACTGTATCTGTCTACCTGCCTCTGGTTCACTGGATGGACGCCTCTGCAAGAGGAGAATAAGTTCCGGTATTACACAAATGGCATCACATCGTGCACGTACAATGACTGCGCATGCCAGGCAAACGGCATTGCCCTAGCGTTGACAGCCCACCTGGGTCAGAAGGAGAAGCAGCTGGTAGAAGTAGGGAAGAAAACGGTACCAGCACACGTTGGGGCATGAGGCCTTGAAACAGCACGGCTTGGTGCATCAGCATCAGGGCTTGGGGCGCCAGAAGAAGCCAAAGAGGCAGTGGGTGAGGTAGAGGGGGAAGAGCGTGGCCAGGGCGAGCTCACATGCCATGAACCCCGCTGTCATGCCCGTGAAGTCCCCCCTCATGGCCTCCTCTCCGTACCTGCAGGGTGAGGGGAGAGTGGGAGAGGAGGGATACGGGGAGTGTTGGGCATCAGAGTTGGGCGTCAGGGCTTAGGGCGATGAATAAGCCGAAAAAGCAGTGGGTGGGATAAATTGGGCAGAGCGTGGCTAGGGCGAATTTACATGCCATGAACCCCGCTGTCATGCCCGTGAAGTCCCCCCTCATTGCGTCCCTTCCGTACCTTGAGGGATGAGGGGAGAGGGGATTGATAGAGGGGAGAGGAAAATGAAGGGGTTTTTGAGGCGCCTCAGAAACCGAATTCCACCCATGGTCACCCTGTTGTACCTGGGTTTGTGTGGGAGGAAGCAGCACGTGGAAGGAGTCGAGGGGAAAGGCAGGAGGTGGGGAGTTGGAAGGGGAACTGTAACGTTTCCACGAGCTGGGGGTAATGCAACAGTTAGACCACCTCATCAGTGGGTATTGCAGGAGTTACCTCACCTCATCAGCGGGTATTGCAGCAACACGGCGAATGCCACAATGAAGCGAGTGAGCCGGCCAAAGCCGAAGAGGTGAGTTGTCACAGCCCGAGGGGGCACTGCAGTAAGCACCTCACCTCATAAGGGGGTACTGCAGCAGAGCGGCGAATGCCCCAATGAACCGTGTGAGGCCGTAGAGGCGGCCAAAGTTGCGGAAGCCAAAGAGGGAAGCGATGAGCGCCGCCATGGTGCTGTAGATGAACGCCCTCGCCACGCTGTATGCCGCGAAACTCAGGAGCTGATGGCCGTGGGGGTGGGCGGAGAGATGGCGTGAGAGAGAGGGAAACCAACGAGCAAGGCGATGGCGCCGCCATGGTGCTGTAGATGAATGCTCTGGCGACACTGTAGGCCACGAAACTCAGGAGCTGGGAATGATGGGAAAGGAGCAGGGAGGGGGGCAACAGGAGAGAGAAAAAACGACGGGAGATGAGCGATGAGTGGTGCCATGGTGCTGTAGATGCACGCCCTGGCGATGCTGTAGGGTGCGACACTCAGGAGCTGCGAGTGAAGGTTGGGAAAGGTTGTGCAGGTGGGCAGAGAGATGGGATGAGGGAGAGGTAGTCCAAGGAGCAAGGCGATGAGTGGTGCCATGGTGCTCTAGATGCACGCCCTGGTGATGCTGTGGCCGCAAAGCTCAAGAGCTGTGACAGACGGAGGAAAGAATCATTAAGGGCGTATCCAGGTTCGGGTCATGGGCACTGTTCCAGGCATCCGCAATTTGCGGATGACCCAAACAACATAAAACGCCACTTTGGGTCCTCCGAACTCTTGCGACTCCCAAAGAGCCGCGAAGGTTTTAGCGCCAAAATCAGGCTCCCCACAACAGTCGCATCCAATGGAGGGATGCCAGAACAGTTCAAACATCCTTAGCAAGACCCACGCGAAACCACGCGAAACCCACCGAAAAAACACAATCGTCTAAATTCCCGGCGTGAATCCCCAAATGCTGGGAGGGCGACGCGGGAAATTTTTGACCCACTAATGGTCACTGGGGTCAATTTGCCGAGTGGTTGGGTGCAGAGGGGTAAGACGTGGGACATTGCCCACGTGTGACACTCGACTGACGACCGCCAAAAAATGGCAGTAAATCCAGAATCGTGCAACCAGGTGATTGGTTGGGGGTGGGTCGTGCACGTCAGTCGCCCAACACCTGCACATTGACCCAAAGCTGGGGCCGCGCGCGGCTCGGCAGCCCACTTCGGGTCATGCGCAAATTCCGCATGACCCAAACAGTAGAATGAACAGTGCTCATGACCGGAGCCAAAGATACGCCCTAATAGACACCATGGCATCATGGCATGAAGGAATCAACAGCATGGCATCAGCACGAATCAACACCATCAGTAGGACAACAGCACGCCAGCCATGGCGGCATGGCATGGCATCATGGCACTAGTGGGCGGCATACCATGGCATCTAGTGGAAGGATGGGGGCGAGGAGCAGCAGCAGGGAGGAGAGGAGCGACAGGGCGGCAGTGATGGCGAAGGCGGGCGGCAGGCCGAGGGAGTCGATGCTCCAGCCGGCCAGAGGCACGCTGAGACAGCCGCCCAGCGGGAGCAGGCAGTTGAAGGCGTCGATGTAGTGCTGCACTGCTGCTGCTGTGGATGGCGGGTGGATGGCCTTGGCGTGCTGCAAGGGAGAGCGGAGAATCGGGGAAAAGTAGGGACATAGGGATACACAGGCAGCAGGCAGTTGAAGGCATCAATGTAGCTCTGTTGCACTGCTGCTGCTGTGGGTGGCGGATGGATGGCCTTGGCGTGCTGCAAGGAGAGAGGGCAGAAAGAGGGGGGGTGCAGCGAGAATCGACAGTTGAAGGCACTGATGAACCTTGGCGTGGTGATGGCGACACATGATTTGGTAGCTTTCTGGTGACCGTGCAAGTGTAAGGATGCGCCAAACACTCGTTTCACTCACCACGGCGAAGGTGATCTGGTCGTTGACAGCCGCGATGTACACATTGGAGCGCAGCACATAGAACGCCGCCACCCCCACGTGCACCCAGAACAGCGGCGACCTGCCGTTTGAAGTGGGTTTGGGGTGGGAATGGGGGTGGGTGTGGGGGTGGGGGTGGGGGTGGGGGTGGGGTGTACTGATGAAGGCGAAGCCACAAAGAAGGCCGCCACCCGCACATGCACCCAGAACAGCGCGACCTGCCGATGGATTGGGGGTGGGGGTGTACTGCTCAATTCAAAGCCACACAAGGAAGACTGCCACGAGCATACGCACTCAGAGCAGCGACGACCTGCCATTTGTTGCAGTGGAAGGGGGAGGAGTGGGAGTGGGAGCACGGGTGTACCGGCGAAGGCAAAGACAGAGAGAGGAGGGCCGACATGAGCATGTGAGGTCAGAGCTGGCTTCCCTGCGGCTTGCTGCAGTGGAGGGTGGGCGAGTTGCAGCTTGTGGAGAAGCAGATGGAGGGGCACCTGAGCTGGGTGCTGGGTAGAGTAACCACCCATGAGCATCTGGTGATTTCGGAAACCCAAGCGTGGGCACACACAGATGCCAAGGCACCTGAGCTGGACGACTTTTCAGACTTCTGAAAAGGCACCTGAGCTGGATGGCAATGTCGGCATTGTAGATGGCGGGAGGGGGCGGCAGGCACGGGGTGCTCCGGCCGTGGAGCCACACGATGGGCAGACTGGGAGACACCGGGATGCTGCTGCCCCGCCCTGTGACAGCTGGCAGCGCCACGTGGCATGCTGACGTGGTCAGCTCGTCAGCAGCAGCAACACTGCTCGCACCACCGGCATCCCCAGCAGAAGCCTTATCACTCCCAGAAGCCCCCATGAGGCGCAGCAGGTATAGCCGCTCCAACTCCCCACTGCGCCTCGGCCCCCGCGCTCCCTCACTTCGCCCTCCACTACGCCCTCCCTCCTCGTCCCCTCGCCTCACTTCGATCAGCCCTGCTGCCGCCCCCTCTCTCACCCCCCTCATTCCCTCCTCCTCCCCGCGTGCGTCGTCATGTCCCCCCCCACTCCTTCCCACAGCGGGCCTCGCTTGCCCCCTCTCCCCCTCATCCTCGTCTGACTGGCCCTGCGATGACTGCTCCTTGCTTCCCTGCGACTTGTTTGAATGCTCCTCGCTTGCAGGTTGCAGGAGAGGCGCGGTGAGCAATGAGAGCGAGTCGGGATGGGGTGGCGTGGAGGAGGGGGGGGTGGAGGTGGATGGAGGAGTGGCGTGCGACTCTGAAGCGGGTGAGGCACCAAAGGGACTGCAGAGGCGAGGGCAGGGTGAGGGGGAAAGGGGGAAGGAGGGGGGGCGACGTAGAGAGAGATGGGAAATGGCGGGAGTGCGATGTGGATGGACGGTGATCCTGGGCAGGGCCTCAAGGGTAGGGAGGGAGTGGGCATAGACGGATGGTGAAGAGCCTCGGATGTGATGTCACAGGGTGAGGTGACAGCAAGAAGCAGCAAGGGGGATGAGAAAGAGCACAGCGAAGGACACACACACAACTACCCCCCCCTCTAACCCATCTCGCACACACAACCACACTACTCTCCTCCCCCCCCCTTCTAACCCATCTCGCACAAACAACCACACTACTCTCCTCCCCCCCCCTCTAACCCATCTCGCACAAACAACCACACTACTCTCCTCCCCCCCCCCCTCTAACCCATCTCGCACACACAACCACACTACTCTCCTCCCCCCCCCCCTCTAACCCATCTCGCACACACAACCACACTACTCTCCTCCCCCCCCCCTCTAACCCATCTCGCACAAACAACCACACTAGTCTCCTCCCCCCCCCCTCTATCCCATCTCGCACAAAAAACTACTCTCCTCCCCCCCCCCTCTAACCCATCTCGCACAAACAACCACACTACTCTCCTCCCCCCCCCCCTCTAAACCATCTCGCACACACAACCACACTACTCTCCTCCCCCCCCCCCTCTAACACATCTCGCACAAACAACCACACTACTCTCCTCCCCCCCCCCTCTAACCCATCTCGCACACACAACCACACTACTCCTCCCCCCCCCCCTCTAACCCATCTCGCACACACAACCACACTACTCCTCCCCCCCCCCCCACTTCAGACCCGACTCGTCGCACACATCGGGGAACGTGGTGGCGGCGACGACAGCTATAGCAAGCGGCACGGCGAGATAGGCGAGGCAGACGGAGGAGAGGGCGAGGTGAAGGCGCGAGACGGCGAGGGCGAAGAGGAAGAGCACGGCTGCAGAGGCATCAAAGGCGCCGCTCTGTGCTGCTATGACCGCTGCTGCTGATGATGGGAGGACCTCAGAGAAGTTGATCTGGTGGGTGAGGGCGGGGAGGGAGAGAATTGGGAGTTGGGAGAATGAATTGGGAGAATGGTTGGACTGGTGGGTGCCAAGGACGCGAGATGCTTGGAATGTGAAGCTGCGTGTGGATGGGGAGGCAGTTTGGCGGGAGGGAAGCTCACTGTGGAGAATCAAGGTTGGACAGCAGGACAATGGGGGTAACGGAGCAACATAGCAGGTAGGCGCATCCACAGCAGGCGCAGCAGCAACGGCAGTACACTGCGAAACACTGGCCGTACCATGGGCGTGACGATGAAGGGCCCTCCGAGCGCCAGCAGAAAGAAAGCTGCAAAGAAGCACACCCCGGCAACTCCGACGCCCTTCTTCGCCCCTCTTAACCCCCCTGCCACCCATCCCAACACTTCTGTCATCCCTCTTATCCCCTCTCCCCCCCTCCTAGCACCCTCGCCCCGGGCGGCCATGCCACCCCCATCCCATGCACTGTCCCTGTCCCCTGGGGCCCCCTCCAAATGGCGCCCTGTTAATGGCTGGGAGAGATTGTCTGACTGCTCGAAACGATGGGGGCAATAGTGCAGCGGCCACGGCGGGGGGAGAGGGCGAAGCAGGAGGGGGGACTGGGTGTGGTGGGACTCATAGGCAGGGAAGGCGGGAGGCATGGCGAGCAGGGAGGCGGAGGGGGAAGGCACGGGCAGGGCAGGGGGAGGGGCGGGAGGGGGCGGCTGGGAGAAGGCGGATCCGAGGGCGAGGGCGAGGAGGCCCGCGGAGAAGACGAGAGAGCCCGTGATGGCTGTGGTGCGCGGTCCGTAGGCGTCTAGGAATGCCCCCACTGGCAGTACACACGCGCTGTTGGTCACCATGCCTGGTGGGGCGACCGGGATGGGCGCACATAGATGCACGGGTGGTGAAGGATACGAGGAGGTCAGCACATTGGCACATGAACACATGCAAATGCAGGGGACATAAGGCAGAGAGCAGATGGGACAGAAGGGAAGCGATGATGGCTGTGGTGCGCGGGCCGTAGGCGTTGAGGAACGCCCCCACTGGCAGCACACACGCGCTGTTGGTCACCATGCCTGGTGGGATGACACGTGTGTGTGCAATGACTAGACACGCAGGACAGCACATGAGAGCGTGAACTCATTACACAATGCACACATGCCAATGCAGGGTGCATAGGGGGCATAGGGGCTCAGCAGCAACAGAGTGCACATACACATGCCCCACCACCCTTCGTTACAGTCACGTACTGAGGGTGTAAGCGGCGTTGAGCAGGTTCATCTGGGCGGCGCACGGCACAGACTCCCCCGCCCCGCACGCGTCGCTGAACGCGCCCACGTCCGCCACCAGCACCGGCAGGATGCCGGAATACCCGTAGATGATGCCTGGCGCGGGGGGGGACGAGGGGGGAGGACGGGGAAAAGCGGTGAATTGGGGAAGCGACCACGCGGGGAAGCGGGGAGCGGGATTCAGACTATGCAGTCTTTTCCAGGGCTGGATATTCCGCACAGTCTCGCGCACCAGTGACGGCATCATCTCAGTACCGGCGGTGAGCAGCGAGGCGAGCACGGAGACGGAGACCAGCAGCACCCGCCTGCCGCGCGACAGCTGCGCCTCTTCTTCCGCTCGCCCTGCGCGCGACGCCATTTCCGCGTACGGATCGCTTCTGATTACACGCCGCCACGCGCGCGCTCCTGGTTATCAACCCACAGCGTGCGAATGCGAAGACGAGAATGGCGGGTAACAAGTCAGCCTGGCGAACATCTCGCGAATGTTGATCGGCGTGCACCTGGGCGCCAAAGGCCAATCAATTGTGGCGGGGTTGCGGCGGGGTAGCGACGGGAAACGTGGAAACGAATCCGGGTGAGTCTAGTTTCGAGATTCGAGCAACGCGGAGAGCGGGAAAGGCAATTGCGAAAATGGGTGCGTGGGCAATCGCCTCGCGACCATCTGAGGAGGGGCGTGATGAGCTGCGTGGCACGGTTTATGAGCGCCACTTGGCGGGCCCTGGGATTGGTGTCTGGGAATCCCAAGGGCGCTCCGTGTCTCGCTATTGATTAGTTTTCTCTAAACCAAAAGGGGATCCACCTTTATAAGCTTAAATATTATAAATGTGTTAGCTGCTATTTGAGGGCTCAGTCCCCTTTGCCCTACTTGTTCTTGGCAGTGGTCTCCAGAAATAACCGTACATAGCTACTGAGAGGTAATATGGAAACGTGGCTGTTAGTATCAACTCTATAGCGAGGAAGAGACCGTTCACCAGTACGAACTGAGCTCCCATGGATGACTCACAAGCACTGCACAGGCAAAAAAAAAATGAAATCAGTTGATGAAAAATCACGAAGATACTGCAGCAGTCGTTCTGACCTTTCCCGAATCAACATCCTCACAACTACTACTTACCTCATTAGAGGGTACTGTAACAATGTAAGGAATGCGCCTCCTAGCCGGTTGATCCCATACAGCCGGCCAAAGTTGCGGAAGCCAAAGAGAGTGCCGACATATGCCGCCATTGTGCTGTAGATGAATGCCCTGGCGATGGCGAAGGCAAGGAACGCCACCAGCTGCAGCATAGGCCGAAGGGGAGAAATGGAGGGTGAGTGGAGTGGGGAGGGGTGGTATGTGGTGGGGATAGGAGTCGGGCGACCAACAGCACAGGCTCACGAAGACAGAGGAAACAAGTGGAACAGAGGAATGTGAGGGTTCCGTTGTACAGCACACAGCAGTCGAGACCACATGGTAAGGCACAACGCCCCACCTGCATGGGAAGCGGGACCCAAGCGGCCATCATCTGAACAGCAGAGCAGAGCGCGCAGAGCAGCGTGGTGAGGACAAAGGAGAAGGGCAGCCCTGGGCGCTCCATGCTCCACCCCGCCAGCGGCACGGCCACCACCCCCCCCGCTGCCAGCACTATGTTGAATATGTCTATGTAGCGCGTGATTTGTGCGGCCGCATCGGATGGGAGGTCGGTGGTGGCGGTGGAGGGCGGGATGCTGAGGAGAGTCGTCTGATGGGCGTGGAGGGGGAGGGGTGGGGAGGGGTACATGGATAGGAGGTGCGTGATAGGGAGAGGTTTGGAAGAGAGATGGGGATGGCACATGGCACATAGCATGCAGCATGGCACATAACACATAGCACATAAGACATAGAACGTGACACCTGACACATAGCACGCACCACAGTGTAGCGAATGTGGGTGTTGACAGCAGCAATGAAGAAGTTGGAGCGCAGCACGATGTATGGTTGGCTTGCATGTGTGAGATTACAAGACGGCATGTGCCACAAAATGCTGCGAATATGTGGGTTGACAGGACAGCACGTAGCACATGGCACATAACAGATAGCACATGGCACGTACCACGGTGTAGCGGATGTGCGTGTTGACGGCAGCGATGAAGAAGTTGGAGCGCAGCACAAGGTATGCCGACACTGCCACGTCCACCCAGTACAGTGGCGACCTGGTGTCGTGCCGGGGAGGGGCGAGGGTCGAGGTTGCAATGAACTGTTGGTGAGAGAAAAGAGAAATCCGTAGGACAGGAGAGAGGATGTGTCAAAGAAACAAGTATTTTGTAGCAGCAGCAAGGAGAAGCCATGCGGCCATCTGTGCGCACGGCGCACCTGAGTTGGAGTTTGAGCGGGGAGTTGAAGATGTCAGGTGGAGGTGCAATACCTTCCGATTCTCCTTCCACTATTTCTGCCCCTGCTCCTGCCGTTTTTGTTGCTTCTTCTGCTGGTTTTGCTGCTGCTACTGCTGCGGCCTGTGCTAGCCGCAGAGAATACAGCCTCCCTAGCTCGCCCTTGTCCCACTGACTCCCCTCCTCCTCTCCCCTTCCCCCCTCTCCTCCCATTTCTCCCTCCCCCCCATCCTTCCCGCCGTTCTCCACGTCATCGTCACTCGACCCACTACTGTACACCATTGCTATCACGCTATCCTTCCTCTCCCTCCCCCCACTGCCTATCTCCCCTCCGCTATCACTGCTGCTGCTGCTACTACTACTCAAGCACTCCTCTATCCCCTCGTCTTCAGCTATAAAGTCACCTGCCACTCCTATCCCCCCTCCCTCCCCCCCCACAGGACGCTCCACCAATACCAATTGTCCCTCCCCTTCCCCCTCCGACTCTTCTTCTTTCCCGCCCGCCCCTACCTCCGCTCCGTCTCTTCCCCCATCCCCCCTGACACGCACTCTCGCTGCAGCAGCGTCCTCCAAACCCCCATCCGCGCGCGTATCCCCCCTCCCGGCACTTGCAGCAGCCTTTGCCGCGCCAAAGGGGGAGTTGGGGAAGGCAGCAGCAGCGAGAGCAGCAAGGGCGAGGGGAACGAGGCAGTAGGCGAGGGCGAGGGCGGAGAGGGGCAGGTGCAGGCGCGTGACGGCGAGGCCCAGCAGGAAGAGGATGAGCGATGATGCCTCGAATGCGCCCGACTGTGCACTGATGATGGCGGACGAGAGGCGCGGCACGAGCACACAGAAGTTGATCTGGAGAAGGGGGCGTGGGGAGGAGAGGGGAAGGAGGAAAGGAGGAGCTGGTGGAGGATGAGGACAAGGAAGATGCTATTGGGAAAGGGGGAAGGGGGGCTGGGGTGGTGGCGGAGCGAGGGCGAGATGAAGGGATGGGGAGAGGGAGAGGGACAGGTTGGTAGAGTCGGGGGCAGGGAGATTGGGAGGACGACGGAGAGGGCAAGGGGAGAGGTGAGGAGGGGGGGCACGCACGGAGGAGGTGAAGATGAATGGGCCGCCGAGGGAGAGCAGGAAGAATGCGGCAAAGAAGAACACCCCCGACGCCGCTTCCTTCCCCCCGCTGCTCCCCTCCGCCGTCCCCCCTGCTTCCCCCTGCCCCTCCGCCTCCAGCTTGCGCCGCTGCACGCCTTGGTCACCGCGCATCACTTGCTCCCCCGGACAACCTCCACTCCTGCGCCAGCAAGCATGTCCTTCAACCCACCCTGCCCTCTCCTCCCGTGCTGCCCCCCCTTTGCCCATCACCTTCACCATGCGAGCACCTTCTCTCGCCCCATGCGTCCCCCGCTTTCCCCCGGTCAGCTGCGCCCACGAACCCTCTGGTAGGGGCAGTTCCCCGTTCCGCCACGCTCCGTCGATGCGCATCAACCCCCGTGGGGGCTGCGTACTGACCGCCGCGGCAGCAACGCTCGTGTTCGCGGGTTCTGCCACGGCTGGCACTACCACAGTGGCACTCGCGGTACTGTTACTATCAGTACTATTAGTGACGCTGGGCGGCGTTGCGGCGTCAGGCGCGGCGTCATTGTGGGCCCCGGGCGCGAACGCGCCGGCGCCGGCGAGGGCGAGGAGGCCGAGAGCGAAGATGACAGTGCCAATGAGTGTGGTGCGGCGGGGTCCTGTGCGATCAAGCACGAGGCCCACCACAATGGCGCTCGCGCTGTTGGTGAACATGCCTGGTGGGGAGACGGGAGGCGGGGCGTGGGGGGAACGGGGGAGACGGGGGGCAGGTTGCGGGACAGGGAGGGAAGGGAAACCGGGTGTCCGCTGAAGGCGACAGTGATGGCGGCGAAATGGAGAACATGGAATCTGAATGGGGGAGTTTATACGGATTTGGAAGCGAGGCGGCACGCGCGGAGGCATTTCTTGCAGCGCCGCTTCCCTCTGAGTGTGTAGTCGCGCTGCACGGCACGGATTGAATTCAAAGTTGCCTTAAGGCGTGATGATAGTTAAGCGGTACGAACGCACTGAGGGTGTAGGCGGCGTTGAGCAAGCTCATCTGACGCGCGCACGGCACAGGCTCGCCTGCCGGACACGCGTCGCTAAAGGCGCCGACTGGACCCGTCAGCGCAGGGAGGAGGCCGGAATATCCGAACGTGACGCCTGGTGGGGCGGCGGCATGGGAGGAGAGAAAGACTACGATGAAATGCGTGGATGTCGATTCAACCAAGCGGACTGCGTTGGCATACTATCAGAGAGAACCAGAGGCGCCAATTTCAAAACCCGATACTACCAGCGAGACGGTAGGATAAAAACACGGGTGAGGCTAGTGCGTTGGACAAAAGATACTAAGTTGACGGTCGGACCTGCAGTGAAAAAGGCGGCGACGATGGAGGTAGTGACGAGCAGAACACGGCGACAGCGAGACAACGACTCTGGCCGACGCGCCATCACGTAGCAATGTCACCCAATTATTAGCTGAGACGGATTACTCTCGAAATTGGTATCTACGAGTCGTCTGTCCATCTATCTTGCTACTAATGCCGAGTCCTAGAATGCGCCTGAAGTCCCAGCCTTCCCTGAATTCCAACTTGAAGTCGGCGAATCCGTGCAGTTGGTCCTCCAGGATTGTTTCTGCGACAAATGCCATCACCCATCGCGTTGTCTGGGTTGATTTATGAAGACCGCGTCGCGCAGTGGTTGGGAATTCTTGGTTATTGGGGGCAGTGGGCAGGGGTCTTGATTCGTTTTGGGCCACCCTGTCAAATCAAAGTTTCAGGTCGAAGTCACACTGCCACTGCAGTGCTGCTGCCGCGTCGTACCCTAGAAATGGCAGGGTGCTGAAAAAAATCTGGTCTGGTATGGCAGGGTGAAATTTTGAACTAGGCTGCAGCGGTCCAATCTGTGTGAGTGTCTCCGTGGAAAGGACTTAGCAAGTTTTTTAGCACATCCGATGCTTGTTCGGGTGTATGTGTGACTGACTCTGTGGGAAAGACTTGGCCAGTTTTCAAGCACATCCGATGCTTGTTCTGGTGCATGTGTGAGTGTCTCTTGGCAAGGACTTAGCCAGTTCTCGAATGGCTGAGGGGGAAAAACTCAGTCAGAGTGCTACCACTACCGAACTCGGCCAAGGCAGTATGCTACAAGAGCCAACAAGTGCAAAACAAGGGAGAACATTTCACGAGGCCTGATCGTGACAGGGCGGTCAAACCCTTGAGACCTGTATTGACAGTGTGGTTCCGAAACACGACCCTGAAAAACAGGCTAATCAGGGCAAAATGCCCTGCAATCCTGAGGCCTGGCAGTGGGCCAACTGCTGAATTTTGGACCTTCAGTTTGTGTCGCTTTCGCGAAGCTGTGGATCTGGTTTGGTGTCCGCCTTCTCTTTGCTGGCTCTCACACTGCCCTAGCGCGCCAATGACAGAGCTGAGCTGAACCCGTAGAAACCAATCAAAAAGCTGGTTAGCTTGGCTCTTGCTGGTGGAAAGGCCAGCGCATAGGTCGTTCGGCAAAACTGGCATTGCGTGACTGTAGCCAGATGGCGTGAGGTTGTTGGTGACGTTGTGTAGTCACCGCACGCGCCAAACACGCAACAGATCACAGAATTACCCATCTGTTGGAAAATGTTTTTATAACCACAGTAAAAAAACACCACCAGCACAAACTAAATAGCTTGATGTACATTTACTGCTTGTCACTCAACACCATAACTGCTCACATCAACATCAGGAATATTTTAGTCGAAGGAGAGGAGAGCCGCACCACTTTTCAAGAGGCGGGCGCAGATGGCTTCATCTTCTTCCTCTCCCGTTTCTCCTTGCGCTTGAGGGAGTCCATATGCGCCTTGAGAACGAGCGCATACGCCGCCTGAAACTTGGCATGCTCCCGAGGTCCCAGCTGCAGCAGGACACATAGCGTCCACAGAGCACAAGACAAATGGCCCTAAAATCTCACGTGAAGTTGGCAAGTAGCTATTTATTTAAGCATGTTGAAACACACGACGAATGCACGATAATAAAGCATGGGCGGACCCGCACACTCACCAGGGTGCTGATCTTCCTTTTGCCATCGGTGGCCCTCACCACACACCGGTACTCCGCAGCGCTGCTCTCATCCTCCTCCACGTCATCCCCGCCTGCCTTCTCACCTCCCTTCGGCTTTTTGCGCAGGTTGGCTGCAGGGGATAGGGTCGACAGGAGCAGTGGAGGAACGGAAAAACCATGAAAAACAGGGGGGTTATGATAAGGAAGAAACGCACCACTGGCGAGCAGCGGCTCCCAGCGATCCATCTGCTAATTCCAGGAAGCATGTGTCACTTCCACTCACCATTTGTACACTTAACACCTCCACCCACACCTGTTAGACTGCACCCCCACACACAGCGCTTCAGCCCATCCCCACCAGCACCGGCACTCGCAGTGCCTGAGCCCCAACCTTACTGGCACTCACAGCGCTTGAGAGTGACCCACACGGTGCCGGCGCCCTTGTGGCGCTCGTACAGCTTGGTGAGCTCGTTCAGAAAGGGATCCGGCTCCAGCAGCATCTGCCCTCACGGTGAGTGGGGAGGGCAGAGGAAAAATGGTTGGGGCCGATGGCCAGGGAGTGGGCAATGGAGTTACGGGCGCAAGCAGAGAGCTTGATGAGCTCGTTCAGAAAGGGGTCCGGCTCCAGCAGCATCTGCCCTCACAGGGGGGGAGGGGATGGGGAGCAGCAGCTGGCGGGCTGTGGGATCAAGGGCACAAGGGACAGCTTGGTGAGCTCGTTCAGGAAGGTGCGGCTCCAGCAGCATCTGCCATGCACTGGACGAAGGGGAGGGGAGAGGTCAGGGGCAGGTAGCAGGACGAAGGGTGGAAAAGAACAAATGGCGGGGCCAAGGGTGCTCCTTAAGGCGCCTAAAACAGCCAGTGGCAGCACCGTTGTGGCGCAACGGCACAGCCTGGTGAGCTGGTTCAGGAAGGGGTCCAGCTCCAGCAGCATCCGCCCTGCAGGCAGGGCTGGGGTGGAGTGGGGGCAAAGGGACGGGCCGAGGGGGAAAGGGCGCACTGGGAGGTGCAGGGAGTAAAAAGAGGAAAAATGCAGGGAGGGGGGAGTGGGGGGGTGCTCAGTGAGACTGAAATGTTGAGATTGGATGAGAGGCCGGGCCGCACGGGGTAAGAGAGGGGTGAGAAGAGGGAGCAGGTGAGAAAGGCATTGGTGAGAGGAAGGTGTGTATGGGCTCAATTGACGATACCAAGGAGGGGGGAGAAGAGGACGAGAAGGAGGAGAGGGGGCGGAGGAAGGGAGAGGGGGGTGAGAGTGAGAGGGGACGAAAGATGGGAGAGGGGGAGGATGTGGAAGCTGCGGATGCAGCAGGAGCTGCACTGGAAGATGGGAGAAGAGAACGATGATGCAGGGGAGGAGATGCCGAATGGAAGGTGGGGACCGAGGAAAAGGGAAGGGGGGTTGGGAGGTGGGAAGAGGGGGAGGGGGGGGGGGGGGGGGGGGGGGGAGGGGGAGAAAGGGGAGAGCAGGTGAGGGAAGGAGGGGTGGAGGCTTTGATAAGAGGGTGTATAAAGGACAAATCAAGTCCGTTGGCTGTTGATTGAGTAATAAAGTACATTCACTTGATAGAAAACGAGGTTGAACAAAACGTAAAAGCGTAGCGCCTACAAAACTGCTCCTGCTGCCGCTTCTCTGCCGCACCAAGCCCATCAGAACCTATCCGCGTTACTCCTGCCGCTTCCCCTCTACTGCTACTCCTAGCAACGCCTGCTCCTCCGCCTTCTGCTGCTGCTTCGTCACTGGCAGCACAGCAGCCGCAGCAGCAGCGGCGGCCTTTTCCCGCTCGACAGCCCAGCTGTACGCGAGCATGCCGAGCACGGCGACGGCCATGCCCATGAGGTTCTTTGCGGTGAGTGGCGAGTGGAAGAGCGCGGAGCCCAGCACGAGCACGAACAGCGTCTTCATGTGCCCCAGCACCTGGAACGACACCGCTGAGAACTTTCCGATGCAAAGGTACATGGACAGGTTGACGAAGAGCGCGAGCACGCAGGACAGCAGGATGAACGCCACGGACACGGGGGTCGGGCGGAAGGCCAGCAGGCTGCGGCGCGTGAGGAGGTAATCCACTGTGGGGCCGGAGATGACGAGCAGCACGGCCTGGTACGGCGCGGTCTTGCTGAGCAGGTCGAACGATCCCACGCTGTACTGCTTCTGTAGCGACCCGATGAAGATCTGCTGGAAGGTGGTGGAGAGCACCGCCACGATCGCGGCGAGCAGCCCGGCGGTGTTCACGGTGACGTCAGTGACCGTGCAGATGCCCACGCCGACCATCACGCCCACCACGGCGGCTTTCACGGCGGGCGAGAACGTCTTGCGGTGCAGCAGCGCCTCGAAGAGGCAGCAGGCGGGGATGATGGAGAGCTTGGTGATCTGGTAGAAACCCACGGAGTTCACCATGAGGGACACGTTCATGCTCACGACGGCCAGGCTCGCCACGAACGCGAACCACATCAGCGTGCGCGCCGGCACGTGCTTGCTCGGCGCGAGCGCGCCGGCGGCGGTCGCGGCGTTGCCGACGGCGGCGGTGGTGATGAAGTGGAGCGCGGTGAGGGACGTGGCGAAGGCGAAGCCGTAGGAGGTCATGAGGGCCTTGTTGACGAGAATGATTCCCACCGACGACACCACGTTCATGCCCCACGCCCCCGCCCATGACAGCGCCGCCGGGTCGTTCAGCATCGCGGCGAGGGGGGAGGAGACGGACACGGAGTGCGCGAGCGGGACGGGAGAGGGCTCGCGGGCGTGTTGCGTCTGTTGCTGATTACGGCTGCGCCCTAAGCGTCGGACCGACTACGGGTGTGAACCAACTGGGCTACTGAACAGCGGCTAACGACCGGCTTGGAGTGTTCATGGAGCGGACTAGACGAGAAAAGGTTGTCGCGTGGTAAGCGGTGGTTGACCGCAACAGCACTGCACGACCGATTGAGAGAGCACGAGGACGAGGACGGTAGCGAAATCGCACCCTCTACCCTAGCGCCGTAACGTCGCTATTCCCCCCCTGTGCTGGTCGAACTGTTCTTGCCGCTTCGCGTCGCAAGAACAGACCCCGAGCCTGCAAGGTCAACAGGCAGGGGGGACACACACGGGGAGGAGCGGATCTTTCTTTAAACTGGAAAATCGAAAGGGTTCGCAGTGGAATGACGGCTTTGTGTCCATTCAAACTGCTCGCGACGATCCGGCACGAACTTCATTCTCAGGCATATGGACGCATGTGCTGAAGCCAGATGGTGAATTAGGTCGAAAGGGCCACCCTGACGATAGCACGATTCGAGTCTTACAGTTTCCGCGACAAGCGAAGGCCGTAATGGTATAAAGACCAACATATGCCGACTGTTCAGATCGACTGGGATGGTTACTAGACTCCGAGACGCCGAATTCATGAATCCAGCAATATTTTTTTTTCATTCGACATCTTTCGATATCGGAATCCGCATATGGAAGTGCCAGGTCGCACTTCGATACCTAAATTCAATAACCCATCCTGAAATTTCGCACCTGATTGCACGTCATCCCTCAGTGCTGTTACAGTAACGAAGAGCGAACACACTATCAGCAATAAGCTGGGTGAGGGTAAATAGCAGCGGGAGCTTACCTTGTGAACTGTGGGGATCGAAAGCTAGCTGGTTGATCGGCGGCCACAGCTGGTTGGCAGGCTTTGAAATAGCAGACTTGAAGCACCACGGATTAGTAGAGTAGTGGTGGTGATCTATGAAAGTGATAGGTGCTGCAATGCCAAGCGAAGCAAGTGTGTATCTTGGGATTCTGTTCTGAGTCTGACACGCGTGTGCGGAGCGGAGGCACCGAGGCACAGAGGCACGCGGTGACGGTGGGCGGAGGGAAGCAGGCGCGCACTTCAAGCGCGGCGGGGATGGCTGGGCAGTGGGCAGATGAAGAGGGTGCGGTGCCTGAAAGGAGGAGTGCGGCGCGGATCAAGGGAATAGCGGGAGCCCCATTTGAGAATTTGGGGAAAATGGGTAACGTTCAGGAGCATTTTTGTGGGGTTACTGCTAACGAAGTTGTTATGAGTTGTATGAAAGAAGAGTGCGCAGAATGCAATATCGCGGAAGTGATTACAACTACTGAGCAAACATCGGGGCCTAGGCATAATATAGCAAGGCTAGCTAAGCCCGAGGTCGCGAAGTCGTGCGAGGGTTGGGTGTAGGTTTGGGTTTGGAAAACCCGAAGGCGACGCGGAGGACGTTCGGGAGGCGAGGTCGTCGGACCGAGCCTGAACTCCGAAAAGTTGGAAATGTACGCGTAAGCGGTGCCTCAGTAAGGAATTAGCAAAATTCCTTATACTACCCCCCCCTTCAAGAAAGGTGGTCAATATCAGGCACGTGTCGGCGAGAAAGATACTGCCGGAGTACCGAGTGCCCTTGTAGTGAGTCAGCCGGGACCCACGTGTCGTCGTCACTTGTGCGATCCACCCATCGCAGTAGAAAATCGACGTGGCGGCCGGCTGGGGTCGCACGAATGCGATGATTCAATATCTTCCAGGGTTGGAGCGTGGGATCTGCTACCGGTCGGACACTTGGCGCCTGGTGGGGTCGAGCGACGTCGGAGGACTGGGGTGCCACGTAGTGGCGAAGTAAACTGACGTGGAAGGCGTCGTGGATATGCCAGTCGTACGGGAGGAGAAGTTTCGCAGTGACCGGTGTCAGCATTCGAATGATGCGGAAAGGTCCCACGTATCGAGGACGCAGTTTTGCGGGTTGGGGCAGTCTGAGGTTTTTGGTGTCCAGGAGAACCATCTGCCCCTCGCGGAAGGGTAAATTTCGTCGGTGTTGGTCAGCGTAGCGGCTGGCGGTCGAATTCGCTTTTCGGATAAAGTCAGCTGCTTTGGCACGCGCGTCCTGGAGTTCCGAAATAAACTGTTGTGATCTGGGTACCGGGTTGTCGGGAGTTGTCGATGAGGGTACCACCGGGTCTATCCCGTAATTCAGGTAGAAGGGTGATTGCTTGGTGATTGCTTGGTCGTTGCAGATGGGGCGTTATTGTACGCAAACTCGAGCATGGGAAGGTAATCTTCCCACTTGGTGATGTCCGGGCAGTTCGTGCGAATCAGCTGCTCCATCGTTTGGTTTGTCCTCCCCGTCTGTCCGTCGGTTTGCGGGTGGTAGGACGACGAAAATTGCAGGCGGGTGCCGTACTGTGCCCATGTCTCCTTGCCAGAATTTCGACGTGAATTTCGGATCTCGATCGCTGATGATCGCCGAAGGTAGCCCGTGGAGGCGTACGACGGTCCAGATGAAGAGTCGCGCTGTTTCTTCGGCTGTGATCGTTGTACGGCAGGGCGCGAAATGCGCCATTTTCGTTAAGCGATCAACGACGACGAGCACGGAGTCATTGCCACTTGCGCCAGCTGGAAGGCCCGTGACGAAATCCATAGTCACCTGTTGCCACGGTCGTTCGGATGGCTCGAGGGGCTGTAGTAAGCCAGCTGGTCGTTGTCGTGATGACTTAATTGCCTGGCAGGTCGGGCAGGCGGACACATAGCGCTGCACGTCCGACGCCATGTCGGGCCAGTAGTAGTTCCGCTGCAGCAGCTTCAATATTTTGTCGACGCCGAAATGCTCGGAGAGGTTGGAGTCGTGTACTTCTTGCGTTAGTAATTCGCGTAAGGGTCGGTAGGAAGGTACCCAAACTCGGTTAGTACCGACTTTTAGGTAGTAACTTCCATGCGGTGTAGTGACCCCGCGGTGTTGATTGGTCCTGAAAAATCTGTCGATCCTGTAGCCGTGCTTGAATAATCCTACCAATAAAGGGTTGGAATGGGCGATTAGTACTGCTGCGGTCTGCATGGATGGGCGGGTCAGAGCGTCGGCGATGTTGTTGACGCCCTTTTTATATGTGATGGTGTAGCGGAAATTTGATTCGAGGTAGTCGAGCCACCGGATTTGTCGTGGGTTGAGCTGTGGTTGGCTGCGCATGTACTGTAGTGACTTGTGGTCAGTTCGGATTGTGACATCCGCTCCCGTGAGGTAGCATCGCCATGTTCGAAACGCCTGCACGATGGCGAGCATTTCCTTGTCGTGAACCGGGTAGTTGCGCTCGGGCGGCTGCATTTTTCTTGACTCGTACGCGATGGGTTGCAGTTCGTTGCCGAAGTCCTGTAATAGCACAGCGCCGACAGCGAAATCGCTGGCGTCCGTCACGACTTCGAACAGTCGAGATGGATCTGCCAGTCGAAGCACCGGGGGTGAACTCAAAATTTTCTTCAGCTCGTTGAAAGCCAGCTGTTCTATCTCCCCCCAAAAAAACTGCACGCCCTTATGCAGGAGATCGGTTAACGGCCTGGTTACCCCCGCCATATTGGGTACAAAATGGCGGACGTAGTTAACGAAGCCGAGGAAACTCTGCAACTCAGTGATGTTCGTGGGCCGCTTCCACTCCAAAATCGCTTTTACTTTTTGAGGGTCGATTTTAATGCCTTCCCCAGAGACAACGTGCCCCAGAAACTCCAGCTCCGACCGTAAGAACTCGCACTTAGAGCCCTTCGTAATCAGCCAGTTCTGCTGCAAGCGTCGGAACACTTCGTCTAAGTCCTGTAAATGCTGCTCCCGAGTCTTGCTGTACACCAGGATGTCGTCCAGGTAAACAATAACTTTTTTATCCAACATGTCCCGAAACACTCCATTCATAGTGAGCTGGAAAGTCGAGGGTGCGTTCGTCAGCCCGAACGGCATCACGGTGTACTCATAACTGCCGTAGCGGGTGCGGAATGCGGTCTTCGGGCAGTCGTCGGCGAACACACGAATTTGATGGTAGCCACCTCGCAAATCGATTTTCGAGAAGAAACGAGCCCCGCGAAGTTGATCCAGCAGGTCGTCTGCTCGTGGGATCGGGTAACGCGACTTGATTGTGACCCGATTCAACGCTCGATAGTCGATGCACATGCGCAGGCCTCCGTCCTTTTTCGGTGTGAATAGTATCGGGGCGGCGTACGGCGACGTGCTCGGCCGGATAAAACCCTTAGAAAGCAGATAATCCAGCTGTTTCTGCAATTCGTCGAGCTCCGGTTGGCTGAGCCGCCATTGGGACCGAACGGTTGGTTTCGCGCCTGGTTCTAGCTCAATCCTGTGGTCTTCCGGACGCTGAGGTGGCAGCCCATCAGGTAGGTCATCTGCGAATATTTCGGGGTACCTCCGAATTATGCTCGCCACGTCGTCGGGTACAGCAGCGCAGAGCGTGTCGATGTCGGCGATTTTTTCGGAAGCCACCACCTCGTACAGCTGTACGGCGTAGCCTTGCGCTCCCCGTTTTATCGCCCTCTTCAGCGTTATTGCGTTGACACGTGTTGTCGTCGGCTCCGGCTCCGCCCATTTCGGAAGTGTCACGCGCCCCTTGTTGCACAGCACCGTGATCGCTCCCGTCGTCCAGTCGATGGTCGGATTGAAACGCTGTAGCCAATCCCTTCCGAGCAGCACATCGCAACCGTCCAGTGTTGTCGCCAGCATTCGCATGGAGAACGCGAAATCGTCGCCACACTTCATCCGAATTTGTCGGACCTCGTCCTTGATCGCCAGCGGTGTTCCGTCCACCAATCGCGCATCAATCTCTGGTAGACACCTGTCCAGCTTGACTCCGATTTTTTTGGCCGTCGCCAGGTTGACGAGACTGTCGCTCGCCCCACCGTCGACGAATAATTTTATTTTATACCCGTTAACCCTCCCCACGAC